ACAGTGGTTGCTGTTTTCCCTGCCTTCAAGTTATCTTGACTACTGTTGACTACATGGACAAGCTCCTACATTTTTCTTGGCACTATGTTGTAGAGGTGGTTTGCCACTGCCTTCTTCTGGGGGCTGAAAAAGAGTGACTGGCAGAAAGTGTTCCCTCTGGCTTCATGCCTTAGACAAGACCAAAACTCACGGTCTCTCAGTTTCTAATCCAATGCTTTTAATCACTATATCAACTGGGCTTTGACACTGTTGGGGATAGTAATAATTTGTAGTTATGGAGCCATCTGCAAACTATATTCAACTCCATTATATTGAACTGCAAACAGATGGAAAGAAAGGGCACAACAGCTGGCCAAGCCCTAATGGATTTGAAAAGGCAAGAAATACGAAGCAGACCTAATGAGCAGAAATATTCCAGAATGTGGATATACTATTAGTGTACAGAAGGAGATTCATTTGTTCAATTTATTGGTCTTAAAATATTATAAATGATATTATAAAGAGATTATAAAAGTTATCTCTCATCCCAAGATATTGGAACTGATCATAAAAGCTTTTTAAAATTACATAAAGATGTCACGCCAGAGGGATAGATGGAACACATGCCTACAATTGTTGGTGAAAACAAACAACTTGATTTTTCACAATGAACAAATTTCACAGAGCAATTTTTATTTTTTCATGTTTGCAGGTAACAAAGTAGCGTTTTTGCCCATTTATAGACATGAATGAAAGAGGGGGAAGAAAGAGAGAGAGAAATTGGAAGAAAGTTTTGGCTGACGTTCTTGATTTTCTAAGAATTCCTAGAATGGATCTTTGTATGTTAAAGTCACTAATAAAACCCCATGCAGTGAATTTAGCAGACTTCATTCTCAGTAAATAAAATGGTACAAAACCACCTTTTGCGTCTCCCTCTCTTCTCCAAGATCATAGCAGTGAAGATGTCTCAGAGGCAGGTAACGAGACAAGTTCAAATGAAAAGCCAGTCTCAGAGAACTCCTACAACTGCGTCTCTCAATCTCCCAAGAAACAAGATAACGTTCTGTTAAACTCTGACTTTATTTTTCTTCTTTTCGCTGTTGTGATATCACAGTGATATATGGTGAAAAATATATTATTACCATATAAATAGTTTCCATCAAATCAATGTTAATTTTGAGGATTGAAGGGATCACAAACATACCTCCTCCGTGGCTCTGGCAGAGATAGGGGAAGCGCCATACATTGCCCAAACCTACACAAAACCCGATACAGGTGAGCATGTATTGTGCTTTATTGTCCCATTTGGGTCTTGAGTCTGCTTCTGTGGCTTCTATCGTTTCTAGTTCCTTGTGAGAAGGTATTCTCAAATCCAGACCAGGATTTGGCAGCTGAAGTTTTACCATGGCTGGACCGTTCCTGTACACAAATCTGCCACAGGGCTAGACCAAAAAAAGGAGTTCTAGCTGCCAGCTTCCACTCTTTATAGTGAACCTTTGACACCAAACGTATTGGTGTTGTCTTGGGGCAGGAAAGAAGCGTCAGCAACTCATTTGATTAACCAAGGTTACTCTGAGACTTATTAATGTCTTATCTGCCAAAGCTTCAACTGAAGTCAGAGATTGCTTGGTATCAAAGCCGTGAAGAGTAGCAGTTCACAGGGTAATTTGCTGCAAGGTACATTAAGCAGCATGTTTAAATAGATTTGCTTTTCTTGCTTGCATCTTTCTGTCCAACCCTCATTAACACTAGATAGAGAGGAGGAAATTAGCCCAGCAGAATTAAAGCTCATAAACTGCAATATCTCATCCCTCAATGAATTTCTTTTCTTTTTATGTGCATCTATAGTATATACAAATAATATGGAACATTTAGAATACCTAGCAGTTCTTCTAATTCTTAGGATAGGTAATACAATTTGCAAGTAGTATGAAAGAGTGCATATGTGTGTGTATATGTGTGTGTATAGCCCCCCCCCACTTCCTTTCTTGATTTTAAATCACTTTACTTTCTTGCTTTCTAACTTTCCATTCTCCCCAGTGTAATTCAAGACAGACAGCAGGAAAGAAACACTGAAGTCTTGTATCCACATTTAAAGGCTGCATAATGGAAAGTAAAGGTATAAGTTCTATAATGTCTAATTGGATGAATTGGGGGGGGGAGGGGGGAGATTATCAAAATTATAAATTAAGCTTCTCCTGCAGGAACTAAGGGTTAAGCATTCAATTCTGCATCACAGCTCCAGATTGGAATCCAGTGTATGCTATAAAATATACAGCTCCACCAAAATGTATTTATTTCTATCATAGCATTGATATTTATTTTTAAATAACTCCAGGTGGTATCATACCCAATACTCTTTCCTCCTCCTATTTTCCCCACAACTACAACCCTGTGAGGTTGGGCTGAGAGAGAGTGACTGGCCCAAAGTCACCCAGTCATCTTTCATGCCTAACTCCTGACTAGAACTCACAAAATATTGAACTTACTGTATCATTATTCATTCAGGTGAAGTATTTTCTTCAAAGATCTACGCTTGACCATTTAGTAGATTTTTCCAGGAAAAGAATATGAAGTGCCTTATTATTCCTACTCCCAGGATGTTATGATAAATGATGTTCTTTGTAAATGGATAACCTGAGTCAGTAGAGAGCAACAGAGAACTCCTCATAGGAAAAGAACTAGTTGTGCTGTAAGAAGTAGCAGAAAAGGCTATTTTTTTGAATTTATTTTTCAAGCATGTCACTGAAATGAAGACTGCACTACAATTCTTAGTCATTCCAGATTATTATTATTATTATCCATCACATAGTCAGCCAGATGTTCAGACTGGGTTTGTCATTTTTTGTCTACCTATCGAGTCCTTACCAAGGACCCAGGGATAGGCAGATGTGGATGTTTAATGGTGTTACAGATATCATCGTAGGATAGGAGCTGTCTCCAATAAGACTGCCTTTTGCAATTGACTAATGGCAAATTTCTCAATGCCATTGGTGTTCAAGTGGTGCTCCGGTTGTTTTGGAATTGCACCCACGGCACCTATTATTATTGGTAATACCCTTGCTTGTCTTTGCCAGAGTCGTTCTGTTTCTGTTTGTAGGTCTTTGGTATTATCTTCTCCAGTTCTTTCTCTTTTATTCTGCTGTCTCCAGGCACTGTCATGTCCATGCATCTTAAAACTGTCAAGCTTGAGTTAATGAATGAAGCAGGAGCTTAATGGGGTCACAGGTATGTACGTAAATGGTAAGACATTCCATGCTTAATTTTAGAACTTGAGGATTAGTTGGCCCATGGCTCTTATCTATACACTAGACTCAAAAGACCAATGAAGCATAACATACACACAAACTTTACGTAGCTGTTCCATCTACTAATACTTAGTTTGGAAACAATCACAGACAATGCTTTTCAGAAATGAAAGTTCCAGGGATCTAGGATTTCAAAATCACATCTTGTGCCTAGCCCTCTAAGTTATTTTTGTATTCCACAGCAATATTAGAGTAATAAAAGTATAAGAAGAATAAACTGCGCCGAGGTGGCGTAGCAGTTTGAGTGCAGTACTGCAGGCCACTTTAGCTGACTGTGTTCAGCAAGTCAGCGGTTCAAATCTCACCAGCTCAAGGTTGACTCAGCCTTCCATCCTTCTGGGGTAGGTAAAATGAGGACTGAGATTGTTGGGGGCAATGTAAATATATATATATATATATATATATATATATATATATATATATATATATATATATATACATACATACACATTGCTTACTGGTGTACACCGCTTAGAGAGTGCTTGCACTTAAAGCGGTATATAAGTCTCATAAATAAATAAATAAATAAATAAAGCAAATAAAAGAGTAAGGACATCTCCCTTAGCTTAGAAGGTGTATGCCCCCCCCCAAAAGGCAGAATTGCTCCTGCCCATTTCAGTGAGTGGAGAGCATACTATGCGGACAGACATACAGAGACCAGGAGAAAGTAAAGGAGAGCACTAGCTCATTACCAGGTCTAAACAAAAGGAGTGCCTGCTAGAAGTAGCACAGTTACTCAATCATCTCATTAAGGCCAATTATTAAGAAGTCTCTTTTACATTGACAAGAAACTGGCCAGGCAGTCCTGAATTAAGCCACCCTTTCAGATAGGTGTAGCCAAAAGACACACTCACACATACACTGGAACTTCCTCTTTCCTAATTATTGTGGTGGCCATTGAAGGTAACTTGAATGGCTGTGATTTTGAATCCCCTGTATAAGACCAAACACTTGTGTTCTGGTAAATGAAAAATGCTGCCAAATAAATAAGCAAAATTAAACGATGAAAAAGATAGCTCTGTTTTTCAGTAAAGTTTTTTTTAATTTAATAAGTATATGTTATAATGGAATATCATGGTGATTTTTTCATTTGTCATTCATGACAAATTTATATAAAAAATGTCTGTTTGATATTATAGTCCTTGAACTAATGAAGGACCACGTCTCATGCCGTATTCTGCTGAGTTGTCCTTGAGATCTCCTCATAGACTGAGGAAGTGAAAGCCTGAAGGCTTTCTAATGACAGAAACACATGGAGATGCGCAGTAAATGGTTTTAGGTAAATCAAATTTCTTTTCTTTTTGTCATCCTTTGGCTTACCATTTCTTACTTCTTTTCTATGCTTTGCATAAAGTTACATATCCCTAAAGAGATGAGTGTTATGGATATGTATGTACTATATATATCTCCGTATAGATCAGTGTTTCTCAACCTTGACAATTTGAAGGCATGTGGACTTCAACTCCCAGAATTCCACAGCCAGCATTGCTGGCTGTGGAATTCTGGGAGTTGAAGTCCACATGCCTTAAAATTGTCAAGGTTGAGAAACACTGGTATAGATGGAACAATATCAATGGCCTGTGGTAATACCAGTAGTCCTTTAACAATTTTGTTTAACTTTTAATAGTGAATATTAAAAAAATATTATTCAGACAATATTTAGTTACCTTAAGTATGTTTATAGCAATGAAAATTCAACAAGAAGTCCTTAAACATGAGCAACTCTGGACTTGAATGTTTATTTTTTAAAAATGTTTTTAATGCTAACAATATATATTTGAATAAGAAATTTAAAGGAGTCAGTTACTGATTTTATGTTAAACATTTAAAGGTAAACTAATAATATAAACAATATGCACATATGAGATCCTAAAGCATCTTAATGTTTTTAAACTAACTGTATTAAGTCGAACAGCAAGCTCCTTTCTTTTGAATTTCTATATTCTTGAAGAGGCATCTCTTATCTTTGCAGTTACACAAGGGACTCACGAGGCTTGATCATTGCCACTAAAATATTGTTGAGGAAACTGTGGAAAGAGAGCACTGATACGGGACACAAAAAAAATTGCACTTAGAGCATTGCTCAACCCAGAACATCAACATTTAAAAACAAAGATTTCCAAGAAGGCAGCCTGTTTTACTGCATACAAGAATATTTGTACTGTCTTTTCCTTGTAAAACTTCTGTAATCACATCCCATCTGCATTCTTTAACTTGCAATATTCACATAAAGATTATTGCACTAATGTACAGATACAATCTTGTCTATCACATAACTATTAAATCAACACTACATTTTATATTCCTTGTACAATCTATTCATGTTATGAACTCCTCAGTGTTTGTTGAAAACTTCCTCTACAGCAGGGGTCCCCAACCCCCAGGCCATGGTTCAGTAATGACCCATGGCCAGTTAGAAACCAGGCCAAGGAAGAGGTGGGCAAGTAAGTGAAGGTTCATCTTCAATGTACGGGATCTAGGTTTCCCTCTCCCCGCCCCCCCGGAGCATGGAAACCTTTGTCTTCCATGAAACCAGTCCTTGGTGCCAGATAAGTTGGAGTGGATGTTGAAAAATATTCTAACAAAAGATTAAATATAATCCATTAATAACATTTAGCACAAATTCAGTATACCATCCATAACCTCCATCTGGGGATTGATTTGGAGGTGTGAATATCTGGGTTAACTAATGAGTTTTATTGAACTAGAAAACTTGCAGTCTCCTCTGTGTTATTTTGGTTGGTCTTTAAAAATGTATCAATGATTAAAAGGCTTTGAATATCCATTTTACAGTTTAGGTTCCCCTCCCCTACATGGCTCTTTCCACATATTCTGTTACTGCATTATTAAAATGATTGGGGGGGGGGAAACTTTTAGGGGGAAATTCTTTTTTTTAGTATTTTTGTAAATATTGTGATCATCATATGCACACAAAACTTGTAACATTAAATTAATAGCCTCAGGGGATTTTAAAGTTAACATATCTTATTATCCAAAGTATAGTTCAGAGGTAGACAACCTTGGCTCTTTGATGACTTGTGGACTTCAATACCTAGAATTCCTGAACCAGCCATGCTGACTCAGGAATTCTGGGAGTTGAAGTCCACAAGTTATAAAAGAGCGAAGGTTGCCTACCCCTGGTATAAATATCTTATTGGAGCCACTGGCTGCTATACTTTTCCTGTCATAAAATCAAGATGTCTTCATGCTTTTTTATTTACTTCCTTGATTATGAATGAATATATAAACCTTTTTAGTCAAGGCTACTCTAAGGCAGGGTACATTGGCACCTGGCAGGTGGTACACAACCATCCTAGAAAAGTGGTAGCAGGGGAGGGGAATGAGCTGAACCGGTGGCAGCACCGCACAAGCCTGAGCGAAAGATGGCTGGAGCTGTAGGGCTGTCAGAGCTCAGCAGAAGCGCCAGGATCAGTGCTGCTTTCCAGCTGATAGGCGCTTCTTCGGGGCTGTCAGGGCTCAGTGGAAGCACCAGGATCAGCGCTGAGCTCCAGCTGGAGTCCTTAATCAGCTGGAAAGCAGCACTGATCCCGGCACTTCTGCTGAGCCCAGAAGAAGTGCTGATCAGCTAGAATATTGCAGCATCTCCAGGTCTTGTGATTTGCATTCAGATGCTTGGCAACTGATTCATATTTATGATGGTCACAGTGTCCCAGGGTCATATGAAGTGACCAAAACCTGCTGCAACCACCCAGCAGACGGGGGGAATAAAAACCAACACCCCCCCACCCCATCCCTGCTGCCAAGCCTCAACAGAAATGCTCACAACAATGAAAACCTCAGACAAGAGAAAGAACGCCGCCAGGTGGGCAGGCAGGTGTCTTGCTCAGCTGTGGCTTGGGGGCACTTTTTTCAGTGCCATTGTTAACTTCGAACAGTCACTAAGAGAACTGTTGTAAGTCGAGGACTTCCTGTACTTTACCACTTTTTTCCTTTTGGGGGGGTCGTCAAGTTTTTGACACCTTGCTAGGTGACTGGTGGTACTCGGATATTGCCATATCCTAAAAGTGGTACAATGGGTGAAAAGGTTGAAAAGCCCTGCTCTAAGGGATATATCAAAGCAACAGCCACAAGAAATACAACATTTTACAGTAACACACAAATTACAGTACCTTTTCAAGTATTCCAAGAATCCTTTCTTTTTTTTCTCCATTCTTTGCTCTGATCTGTTCTGTGAAGTTTTATCTTTCTCTTGTTTATTGTTCTCTGCATTTTTTGTTCTGTTAATTTCCATATGTTGTTCTATTAATAAATAAGAAATAGGAAAACTGTATGAAAGACATTTTCTAAAGAATGTGTAGGGTCAACAACACCTTACTAATTTGTACAACTTAGTAGTTTGATAACCAGAGAGAAAAGAGAGGTTTTCATTTATAGGATACTCCCTCCAAGAATCTTCTTCCAGAATTTATTGTGATTTCTTTTCCATATCAGAAGCTGCTTCCAGATTTGTTAATGGATAATGCAATTTTACATTACACAATTTTACAGGGCATTACCAAGGTCGTGATCCTTTTGTCAACAGTATTTATATTAGCTCTCACAAGTAAGCAATCTATACGCAAACATTCTTTAAAATATATAACTTTCTACTTCCCTTTGAGGAAAGAAAATAAGTGTGTAAATCTTTATACTTTAATTTACCAAATTAAACTCAAGCAACATCATGCAAATTTAGAGCCGAACTCAGCCAACTTAGCCAAACATTTAAGTTTAATTTCTTCAGTAATTTGTTGTACTATTCCATTGTTTTTAATCCTTTATATCATTTTACTGAGTAATTTAGTAGGTTGGACTTTGAGATTTTGATCTGATCAAAGTCATTCCATGAGCTACATGAGAAGGACTTTAATCCAATATTCATAGATATCCCCCTGTATTCTAACCATCACTGCCATGCTGGTTTTTATAAATAATAAGGGTTTTCACAAGGCTTAGCATTAATTATTACAATTTAGATTGGGACAGTTACTCAGTTAAAATTAGTTCCCAGTGTTTATGCCAGTCCTGCATCTTTGTAGTTACCTAAAGCCTTTACATTATAACCATGGGTGGAGATGACAGAGCTACAGCATGAATACTTGGTTTCTTCTGACTGATTCTGGGGAAAAAAAACATTTTATTATTTTTCTCTAATACTGATACAAACTGATTTTATAATATTCTTGTATCCCCTTTTTCTCTGCAGCCTGTTTTTCATAGAAGTTTATGTATAAATTGCAAATAAGGAAGGAAAAGACTGAAGCAAGAATATATAGGAGCCGTGGTGGCGCAGTGGTTAGAATGCAGTATTCCAGGCTAACTCTGTCCACAGCCTGGAGTTTGATCCTGATGGGGCTCAAGGTTGTTTCAGCCTTCCATCCTTCCAACGTTAGTAAAATGAGAACCCAGATTGTCAGGGACAAATGCTGACATTCTAAAACGCCCAGAGAATGCTGTAAAGCATTTGGGGGCAGTATATAAGTCTAAGTGCAATTGCTACTGATATATAGTTGTAGGCAATTCTTTACTCAGGCTGCATCTTCATGAAATCTCATTATGCATTCACAGTAAGGTCACAGTGTAAACACAGGGGGAGAAACAGTGGTTAGAATATGTTAGAAATTGCTAGTGCAGAAATTAGTTTCTGATGAAAGGCGATGTTTCTATAAATATCAATGTTCACAGAGCAAATCTGGATTTATGCAATTCTGCAATACCTTCATTGGATACGTCATATATTTCTGAAGTCCTGTCCTATCAAATTCAGCATTTGGTTGGCTTGTATTCATAAAAATTGCATTTTCAGTCAAATTTCTGTAAAAGACATTTAAAATGATTAAATGTAAGGCTGCCTTGGCTTCTGCAACAAACTATGGAAAAGAACTAAATACGCAGAAAAGAATTATAAGCATCCATTCAGAATACCTTTTATAAAATGCATTTTTGCCAAATAATGTTTCTTCTGCGATAATTATCTGAAAATGAAGTATATCTTCTCATCAGGAGTGTGCATTTTAAGCATTCAAAAGACACTTTTGAATGGATTCCATGGATGAGAATGCTCCAGGGGAAAACAACTCAAGAGGCTTAGGAAATTCTGAAAAGTGAGATAATAAAGGCCCAATCTAGCACAATACCAATAAAGAGGAAAAATAACAGCTCTCAAAAGAAACCAACATGGCTGCATAAAGAACTTTCTGATCAATTGAAAGATAAAAAGGACAAGTATAGAAAATGGAAAGAGGGACACATAGACTATGTCAGAATATCAGCAAATAGCCGGAGCCTGCAAAGATGATGAAGCCTGCAAAATTAACTAAGGCTTGCAACCAAAGTCAAAAATAACAAAAAGAGCTTCTTTCAACATGTAAAAAACAAGAAAAAGGTGAAGGAAATGATTGGTCCATTAGTGGGTGAAAGGGGCAAGAAGGTGACAAGCAACAGGGAGAAAGCAAAACTATTTAACTCGTTTTTCGCATCTGTCTTTACACAAAGGGAAAAAAACAGGCCAACCTATCAAAAATAGTGCCATAAAAAACAAAATAGAAATACAAGTTAAGATAGGCAAGAAAACACCTGTCCAGCCTAGAAGAGTTCAAATCACCAGGACCAGATGAATTACACCCCAAGGTTCTTAAGGAACTGGCAGATGTGATCTCAGAACCACTGAACTATATTTTTCAGAGATCCTGGAGCACTGGGGAACTACCAGAGGACTGGAAAACAGCTGATGTAGTTCCCATCTTCAAAAAAGGGGTGGAAAAGGACCCAGGAAATTACAGACCTATCAGCCTGACCTCAATACCTGGGAAGATTCTGGAAAAGATAATCAAACAACGAATCAACGAACACCTAGAGGCAAACAAAGTCATTACTAAAAGCCAACACAGGTTTGTCAAAAATAGATCATGCCAGACAAATCTTATTGCATTCTTTGACCAAGTGACAAAATTAGTGGACCAGAGGAATGCTGTGGATATAATTTACTTGGACTTCAGTAAGGCATTTGACAAAGTAGACCACAACCTACTATTTGAGAAGATAGAAAAATGTGGGTTAGACAGCATCACCACCAGATGGATCCGTAGTGGCTGACCAGCTGTACTCAGCATGTGGTCCTCAACGGAAATGCATCTACATGGAGGGAAGTGTGTAGTGGGGTGCCCCAGGGCTCTGTTCTGGGCCCAGTGCTCTTCAACATCTTCATCAACGATCTGGACGAGGGGATGGGGAACTCATCAAATTTGCAGATGACACCAAGCTGGCAGGAATAGCCAACACTCCAGAAGATAGGCTTAGGATACAGGAGGATCTGGACAGACTTGAACACTGGGCGCTATCTAACAAAATGAAATTCAGTGGTGAAAAAAATAAGGTTCTACATTTAGGCAAGAAAAACCAAATGTACAGGTATAGTATAGGGGGTACCTTGCTCAATAGTAGTAACTGTGAGAGGGATCTCGGAGTCCTAGTGGACAATCATTTAAATATGAGCCAGCAGTGTGTTGCAGCTGCCAAAAAAGCCAACACAGTGCTAGGCTGCATTAACAGAGGGATAGAATCAAGATCATGTGAAGTATTAATACCACTTTACAATGCCTTGGTAAGGCCACACTTGGAATACTGCATCCAGTTTTGGTCACCAAGATGTAAAAAAGATGTTGAGACTCTAGAAAGAGTACAGAGAAGAGCAACAAAGATTAGGGGACTGGAGGCTAAAACATATAAGGAACGGTTGCTGGAATTGGATATGTCTAGTTTAACAAAGAGAAGGACGAGGGGCGACATGATAGCAGTGTTCCAATATCTCAGGGGCTGCCACAAAGAAGAGGGAGTCAAGCTATTTTCCAAAGCGCCTGAAGGCAGGACAAGGAGCAACGGGTGGAAGCTAACCAAAGAGAGAAGCAACCTAGAACTAAGGAGAAACTTCCTGACAGTTAGAACAATTAACCAGTGGAACAACTTGCCTCCAGAAGCGGTGAATGCACTAACACTGGAAGTTTTGAAGAAGAAACCGGGCAGCCATTTGTCTGAAATGATATAGGGTTTCCTGCCTGAGCAGGCGGTTAGAGTAGATGACCTCCAAGGTCCCTTCCAACTTTATCATCATTATTATTTTCTGTATTCTTGAGGATCTTTTTGTTTCATAATCATTTTGCTATACATTAAATATGAATTCGCTACTTCAAACTAGTCTTTGGTGTCTCAGTTTGTTCTGGTTCTCATACTTCTTTTCTGCTTTTCATTTCACTTTATTTTCTGTGTTTCATATTATTAGTAGGTTATATATACTTTAAATATTTACAGGCAGAAGTGAATGCATCTTGAATTCATCTTGAATCTAATACTGAATCTTTAATCCATACTGATGAATACTTGCTTAAGTAGGTGGCATCAAAAATAACATTAACAGTGTAAACCTAAACCTAAATCAACAGTGGCTGCCCTTCTTGGAGTTGGGGCCATATTTTTATACAGCATGACATTTGTACACAGATTATTTTCTCATCCTCTCAATTTCCTCAAGAAATTGAGAAGTGGAGACCCATATGAATTCTGGTCTCACTGTAGTCCACTTACATAATATTATATTTTCTGTAATCTTTTTAAAAAATATCCTGGCATTTCACTTTCACTTTTTCTTCTTCTTTTTTTGCTAAAATGAGTCAGGAATTGTGGAATTCTACTTGGTTGATTTCTTCTGTAACGGTTTTAAAATTAAATTACCATGTAATGTTAATAATAAATAGATTTTGTACAGTGAATAGTTTAATCTGTCCCATGCAATAATAATTCTTAAAACTTTTATACATTTACTCTGTTAGTTTATCACAGCCAGAATCCTTACTAGGATGAGAAATATAAACTTACCCACTCAACTGAAATAATCTACATATGACAGAAATGTAAAACAGCATAATTTCTCCATATTGAAAATAAAATGGTATCTTTTTATTTCCTTTGAGCTATGATAAAGTATTTATATTATGCACTGAATTTTCTTTCTAAAATTAAGCATGTGAATGTATGTCTTCTGAACTTCTAGTCCCACTGACTATCTAGCTGCAGGATATGCTGTCTCTTATCTAACCATTGCCATGGCAGCATCTCTTAGTCAGTCTCCCAAGGCCTGTCCCACATACTATTATAGAAGAGAATTAGAGGGGTGTGTTTAAGTGAGGAAATAAACTTATTAAACCTTTTGAACTCCTGATATCTGAGGTTATAATTCTTTCCTACTATTAATTATTGGGACTGCTCTTCGAGTTAGTAATTCCTCAAACTTCCATTAAAGTTTGATGTGGGTTTGAGTTAATTAAGCCACATCTATTAATTCCCTACACCTATTTTACTCTAAGTATTAGAGAACCAATGCTCCTAAGATGTTTTAGTTTAGCAGTCCAGCATAGTCATTAAATAGATCTACTGTGAGTTTTAAATATAACTTTGAGAACAAATAGCAGACAAAATACATATCACCAACCTGTTGACATAGTGCTGTGTATGTGAAGTTTCTAATACATCTTCCAGTCTTTTTTGTTTGGTAGCTCTTTCTATGTCCACGTTCTCTCTCAATTTATTTCTTTTTTTGGTCTTTAAAAATGCAATACAGTGCAAATGTATGTATTAAAATTAAAGTATATTTTAGAAAATAACAACACTTGCACAGTACTAAGCTAGCAGATAACAAATTCCATCCTAGTGGGTGTTATTTGTTTAGTAAAATATACATGTTTTTTTAAAAAAAGAAAAATGAAAATAAGAATATTTTAACTTGGCTCTTTATTATCATTCTAACTAATACTATAAAAAAAAATTCTTCAATCATTTCTGATTTTTGGAGACTGCCTGGACATGTCTTTGCAGTTTTCTTGCCAAGGTTTTACAGAAGTGGTTTGCCATTGCCTTATTCCTAGGGCTGAAAGTAAATGACTGGCCCAATGTTACCCAGCTGGTTTTGAATTCAAGGCAAGATTCACAGTGTCACAGTTCCTAGCTTGATATCTTAGCCTTTACACCACACTGGCTCTCAATACTATATGTATCTTTTCACAATACTATGATAATTTTTTTTTAACATTTCCTCTACTCCAACTTTCAGAGTTATAAATAAGCCCTCAGAGAAATAATATTTTGGTTTCTTTTCCTTAATAAGGTAGGGAAACTATAAGTTTTCTGTTGGCAGGCAGTTGTCTAATCATAGACAATCACTTCTTCTACTCTTTACATCTTGTGAGCATTAATGTTTTGGTTTCAGCAATATAATAGATCCAGTCATCTAAAGAACGAAACAGAATTTTGTTTATTAATAATTTTAATTAAATCCCACACTGAATGTTCTGCAAACTGGCTACATCCCTGGTACATTCTCACTTCTTTACTACTGATCTCCAGGCCAACTTTTGGCATCCAAACAAAACTTTTCTGGAATCAACTAGGAATAAGCTTAACCCTATCTTGGATCCTTTTCTGCCCAGAACATTACATGGTCAATGGGGCTTACTCCCAATGTGCAACTAAAATACAGATCTATGAGAAGTAGTTCAAATAGTACATACAGCAAAGCAAGACTAATATATAAAAGAATTATATCAGAAAGTAAATGTGTGTCAGAGATTTATCACATGCCTAGTATTTATCAAATGAACTGTCTGTATGTAAATGACTACCTTGGAATTACAATATTCTGGTGGATGATATGATCATGTTCCACCAAAAGATAAAGCCATTTACATATGAAGTGGCCATATAGAGCATGGCATTTGAAATGTTTCTTTTTTTTTCTCCTGAATTTACAATGTCTAGAACTGAGGAAATGTTGTTCAAACAATAACTTAAGAGCAACAAGACCCAGAATTGAAGGCATTAATTTTGTAAGGCTTCAAAAAGTAACAATCCTTTTTTTTTATTGAAAAGGAACAAAGGCCTTTTGATTTGAAAGACAGATTTAGCATTTGAATAGGGTCTGACGTCTACATTTTCAATCATGGCTAATGTCAGATAAAAAGTAACCGAAGTCAGAATAAAACTAAATTTTATTCAATATAATGTGTTATATCCCTTAACAAAATAATCATATTAACTCCATTTGTTTTATTTCCAATATATTCAATTATCTATTTCTGCCGTATAAAAGTTATAATTTTAGTCAAAGTTACAGTTTAGCAGCAAGTTGTGGACAATTTTGGGAATCCACCTAAGACTTGCAGCACCTCTGATATAGTGAATTTATTTTGAAGTACAGTCATAATCTAGATACATTTCCTCTTCCCATTTTATTTAGATATGAATTCCAATGGGCACTTATAACCTTTTTCGTAAATCGTTTTATTTTTCAAACATTGGGAGGCAATACTCACGGAGTTACAGAAATCCTTATATTCTCCTTCACCTAAAATGTATAAAATGCTTCAAGATAAAATCAGCAATAGATTAACAAATTTATACATAAAATATCACACAAATGATCTACAAAAATATGAATAGCAAAAACTGTGACTAAATATTCTTAGACTCCCCCTAGAAAAAAGGTAATATATTCATACTTTACCTTAATATTCTTACTTTAAAAATGAATGAACTTCAATAGCTTTTATTCATAATGCACTCCTTAAAAATTAAGTTTCATTCTAAGTTCTAAGAACATTCTCAGATGAATATGAATACTATCAAGCTAAAATTTTCTTGGATACATATGGGAGAAAAGGTTTGAATAAAGATAAGTTTATATTACAGAATCAAATTTCTATACTGATGTTTTAAATTGTTCCATATTTTTATACACTTCATTGTTTAAGATATCAAGCAAATCCAGAAAATATCCTCTAAAATTCATTAATAAACACAAGATCAAAATATTACAGGTTATCATAGTGAAATAACTAATTATACTGGAATCTTGATTTTAAAATCTTGCATCATGAAAAATAACAGTGTCAAAAGAATATTAATGGAGGTAGGATGATCAACTACAGTTTCTTGAATTCTTCTGGGTAATCCATTACAATAAATGCAAATATGTATTCATGTATTCATATTGAGAACACTCACTATATTGTAATACTGACACTTTGAGATTAAAAAAACTAATTTGCTATGTGATTCTGTTTTTTCCTAGTACAGAATGAACTGGGTTGGGTAGGGTAGCACACAAAATTCAGATTCAATAAATTGTGTCAGGCTTAAGGACAGAAGATAGTTTCAGTAGAAATTTATTGTCTTGCTATGATGAAAAGCCCAGATTTGAGATTGTAATCCGCCCTATGAGAAAGAGGAATTGTTAATACAAGTTATTTTATTTTCAGTTGACATGCAAAGAAAATAGTATGATGTACATCATTACTTATTCTCACACAAACAAATCTTCAGCATTTTTATAGTCCTGGAATATCAAATGTGCTGGAGGCAATTTTTTAAAAACTTCTGAACTTACCTTCACATTTATTTTGCTTGCATGAATTTAATTCGACATAAATAGTGCACACAAATGGATAAGGAGTAAGAAATTCATCACCATGCATAAACCTCAAATCTGAAACTCTTTCCCACTTATTTAAATCTGAACAGCATTCTTAAGGTGCAATACAGTCAGTAAAAGGAATAATACAATTATTGTTATTATTGTATATTCAACTTAGCCCCATAGTGGCAAAAATAAAATAACAATGCCTACCATTAATATAAAGTAGACAGAAAAGTAATATTTGCACGTCCTTACAAAAACTACTGAAGTTCATCTTATTTATTTGTATAAGAGCATTTCAGGTAGTTAAAAGAAACAGAATTTGCTATGTGGTTAATTTAGAGAAGTAACTGAAGAATGACATACTTTAATTTTTTAACTGATGAATATGTTGTGTAAGCAAGTCTCATTTCTAGTTTCCACTCTTTCAACACTATTTCTGTTATCTCACTCCAATGGTGATTGGAAGCACCAAATACTACAACTTTTGGAGCTTGTTTTTCCAAGTCAGTGTTACTAGTACCGGTAGTTAATTCTGGTATAACAGGAATGGAGAAAGAAAAAAATAGGAATAAAAGTCAAGATTATTGCTAGTGCAGAAGCAACATTTAGGGCTCTTTCTCACAGCTGAGGTGAAATGCTATTCACTGATCCTTAAGCTGGCACAAAATAAGCTAATTAATAATATTACCCTACTGTCAACTGTTATTCTGTCACACTAACAAGAATGGCAGTTTATTTATTAATAAGCATCACCAGTCACTCTACTTAATATGGGATGGGAATGATGGCCTGACTGAGGATGGCTGTTTTCAATAGCAAGTTTACATCTGTCAAATTGCCCAATCGAAATGCAGCAAGGGCTAAGGAGGAATACAGAATGAAATGAGATAGAATTATACAAATAGTCTTCCTCTGTGCCTGGTACCTGTTGATCAGGATACATCTGAACAGGGGCAGAACATTTTCATTAGAGAATGCAACCTGTGCTTAAAAATATCTTGGCTGACAGGTGAATTGAAGCTGAAGGGAATGACTGGAAACAAATGTGTTCCACCCTTCTTTAAGGCAGTAAGGCAATGGTGATGCTGGCAACAAGTGAACAAGGAATCCACTTCTGACTTCATGCCCAGCAGCACTTAGAAGTAGATGCAGGAAGGCCATGGAGAACACATGCGCTAGAGCAGCTTCCAAATTAACACAATTGTAATTGCCCATAGTAACCACAGTACCACAAAGGCCTGTAGTGCTAACAAAGCAAGAATAAGGAGGAAAAGTAGCACCCCACTATTACCAAAGGCAACTATAACCTTGGTGCATTGCAGCACTAGCCTCAAGAACTTTAACTACATGAGATATGGTCCCATAAGCACTGATTGGACAGTTGTAGCATTCATGCATGAGTCCTCAAAAATAGCAAAAGTCATAAAAGCAGTAAACAATATAGTCCCATAAAAGCCCATATCAGCAGAAGTAGCAGAAAACCTGCTTTCACTTAGTGGTGACACAACTGGCAGGTCACAGCTAACCAAAACCAGTATTCTTTCCAGGTACCTTCTGTATAGCACAGGACTAGCTCTCTTTCAAAAAGTACTAACCTCGTTAAAAAAAATTGTAGCACTCTTTGTGAAATATCAAACAATTACTATGGAAAATATCATCCAGGTATTATGCAGTCAGATGCCTCTAGTCTTCCCTGAAGACCAATTCAAGATGATCAAGAGAAGCATCCATAGACTAGAGGGAAGAGGTCATGCTCCAAATAGCTTAAATTAGACCTCAGGACTTGAGGGGATCCCAACCCTAGACCACATCAGCAAACAAAGGATGAGAGAAGGGTGCCGGATCATATCCATAGGACAAAATATCCACAGGAAAGGAAAAATATCACTGTTAAACAGGAATGGCAAAGGATGACTTTAAGATGCCTCAGATATGGGTTAGGGATGGGGATAAGACAATATCATGAGGATTTAAAGGGGGGGAAAGTATTTGTGAAACAAAGGAGAAATTATGAAGAAATTATGAAGGGATAGAAACTTGGTATTTTTAGATTCAGTCAACTTCAGTGACTATAGGAGATTGTTTTAATGGGTACATATATCATCTGTGTCAATTCCACTCTATTTTTACCTTAACTCAAAGTGAATGTACCATTTTTAAAAAATTCACCATGAATGTATAACAGAATTTTTCAAACCAGAAAATTATATTCCTACTCTATTATAAAAATACCTTATTACCTATTAAAAGAGCCACATGTCTTTAAATTGATCATATTTACCCTTACTAATCAAATTATATTCCATTTGGCCAAAGATTATTCTTTTTCTCAATTCTACATTGCTGTTTATATTTTTTTCCTTCTCTGTACTCTGATATGTCTTGTTGGTGTTGATTGCTTGCTGAGACAAATAACTCTTATCTGTTAATGTTATTATTTATCTTTGTTCCCAATTTAACTACTATATACATCATCACAGAAATGTGTAATGTTTCCAGGTTTTCTAGATTAAAACTGTTAGCATTCCTAGTTCATAGTACTGAGTACCTTGACAATACCATTAAGGGTTTTTCCCTCTATGATGTGGGCAGAGTCACATATATGGTCCTGATATCAGGCTGGTTGTATAAATCCCATATTCAAATTATTGCACACCAATGAAAGGATACATGGAAATATGATCAAGTGTTCAGTCGTAAAAGGGCATAGACTATCAAGGTTTCCAAGTACTACACGAATAGCATCCTGAAAGATTTAAAGAGAGATCTGAAATTAGTACATAAATTTATGATAATTAAACAGGGACTAGTTTAGCTAGAGTGTTCATGCAAAATTGTTCTTATTCTTTAGTTTAAATCTAATAATTGCCAATAAATCAACTTTCTTCCTTCCTCCAAAAACAGGATACTCTTAACACCGAGAGTAAAAAAAGTTCAACAAACTAAGATAGTTGTCTGAACTCTGAACATACTGTAAAATTGGTAACATACTACATATTAGATATCTCTCATGCTACATACTGAACATACTAATACCTCTCTAAACTCTGAACACACTAAATATTTCTCTGAAATAGGTAACTTATTTTACTAAAAATTATAATGATACATTAAATCTACTTGGATCTTGATCAATAAGACAATAATTAAGAGATATTAATGCAACATTTACATACCATACCTGGCTTGACATAGGTATTTCCAAAAGTTATTTGTAAGTTATAAGTATTTATTTAAAAACAAAACAAATAGTTATTCAAAGAAACCACAGAAAATAAGATGCAAATATAATCATTGTGACATTGCCCATATCAAGAAATTCTGTAGTAGATTCCATGGATTACAGAACCATTTTGGGGGTAAGTCCTCTAAATTAATTCCCAAACAAGTATAAAGTCTAAGAATCAGCATGATTTGAATAAAGATAACCTCTACTGATTTCCCAAAGCAAAAAGGATTAAATCTAAATTCCACATTCCCTACCTGATACTTTTTGATATAAACAAATGTTTATTTCATATCTCACCTGTAGCTCCTTACTGACAATGCTTTCATCAAGGTTAGTATTAACACTGAAAAAAATGTAATAGAAGATAACTGCAGAAAGTGAACAAGTATTCAAACTGTCATTAGTTCAGACTAAAGATCCATAGTTCTCTTAGGCTGTATCTATAATGCACATTTTGTGCTACAGTTACTTGGCTGTTTATGCATTCATTCATTTTTTTTCTTCCAGCCTAAACTCAAGGAAGTTACTAGAATTTTTCCTCTTTTTTATTTACATTAGTCAATTAATTATTCTGTATAAATTTTGGATGAAAAAATTGTTGGCCAGATTAAAAAATGTACTGAAAATTCAGAATTAAAAATATTAGATAGAGTGCTGGCTGAGTAGGATAACAGATGTGTTGTAAAGTTATACTTTTTTATATTTCTTGCTAATGCCATCTGGGCAATAAAGCTATGATTTATTCTAAGAGCCTATATTAGGACTTATTTACTGGCGATACGAGAGGCAAAATGTTCGCATTTTTCCGCACTTATTGCGCCTGCAGAATCTCGCCCCACCGCCCTGTTTAGGGTGACCCGTTCCCTACTTAATGTTCGGGAAGCTGGGGAGCCCTTACAGGGTAGAGCGGAGAAATTTGTGCAATTCCTATCAGACAAAATCGCTCGGATTCGGACAGACCTAGACTCCGATTGGGCAGGGCCTTCTGAGATGACTGGGGCAGGTCTTAGCTCAGTTTTATGGGATGAATTTGAGTCTGTGACCGCTGAGGATGTTGACAGAGCGGTGGGAGCAATGAGCGCCTCCACTTGTTTATTGGACCCATGTCCTTCCTGGTTGGTCTCGGCTGCCAAGGAGGTGACACGAGGCTGGCTCCAGGTGTTGATCAACGCTTCGTTGAGGGAGGGGTATTTCCCGCAATCCCTGAAGGAGGCGGTTGTGAGGCCCCTGCTCAAGAAGCCTACCCTGGACCCGGCTGATTTAAATAACTTCCGTCCAGTTTCCAATCTCCCCTTTGTGGGGAAGGTTGTAGAGAGAGTGGTGACGCTCCAGCTCCAACGGTCTCTGGATGAAGCAGATTATCTAGACCCTTTTCAATCTGGCTTCAGGCCCGGCTTCAGCACAGAAACCGCTTTGGTCGCGCTGATGGATGATCTCTGGCGGGCCCGAGACAGGGGTTATTCCTCTGTCTTGGTGCTACTTGACCTCTCCGCGGCTTTTGATACCATCGATCATGGTATCCTTTTGCGACGACTCGAAGGGGTGGGAGTGGGAGGCACTGTTTTACGGTGGTTCTCCTCCTACCTCTCTGGCCTGTCACAATCAGTATTGGTGGGAGGGCAGAGGTCAACCCCAAGGCCCCTTGAATGCGGCGTGCCACAGGGGTCGGTCCTCTCTCCCCTCCTATTTAACATTTATATGAAGCCGCTGGGTGAGATCATCAGACAGCACGGGGTGAGGTTTCATCAGTATGCTGATGATACCCAGTTATATATCTCCTCCCCGAGCTCTCTCAGTGAAGTGGCCGATGTGATGGGCCGTTGCCTCGAAGCCGTGAGGATCTGGATGGGGGTTAACAGACTCAGGCTCAATCCTGACAAGACCGAGTGGCTTTGGATGTTGCCTCCCAAGGATCACATTGACTGTCCAGTGTTGACTCTTGCGGGGGAAAATATACCCCCTTCGGAGCGGGTTCGCAACTTGGGTGTCCTCCTTGATCCACAGCTGAATTTGGAACATCAATAGACGGCTGTGGCTGGGAGGACCTTTGCACAAGTTCGCCTGCTGCACCAGTTGCGACTCTACCTGGACCGGGAGGCTCTCCTTAAAGTCACTCACGCCCTTGTCACCTCATGTCTGGACTACTGCAACGCGCTCTACATGGGGCTACCCTTGAAAAGTATTCGGAGACTACAGTTGGTCCAGAATGCAGCCGCGCGAGTGATAGTGGGTGCTCCTCGATACACCCACATTACACCTATCCTCCGTGAGCTGCACTGGTTGCCTATTGGTCTTCAGGTCCAATTCAAGGTGTTGGTCATTACCTTTAAAGCCCTATATGGCTCAGGGCCAGGCTATTTGCGAGACCGCCTACTACCTCATAGTTCCCTACGTCCAGTTAGATCCCACAGGCTGGGCCTCCTTCAGGCCCCGTCAGCCAAGCAGTGCCATTTGGCAGGGCCACGGAGGAGGGCCTTCTCTGTGATGGCACCCACGCTTTGGAACCAGCTCCCCCCGGAGATTAGGACTGCTCCCACCCTGTTGGTCTTCCGTAAGCTACTTAAGACCTGGCTTTTCCAGCAGGCCTAGGGTTTATGAAACCTGGCCCCTGGATGACTGTCTTTGCATTGTTTGTTTTGTTATGTTTTATGTGTTTTTTATTGTTAGCCGCCCAGAGTCCTTCGGGAGTGGGGCGGCTTATAAATTTTAAAAATAAAATAAATAATAAATAAATGATAACTCTTTTGCTAAATATCTGTACTTATATTATTTCAGTAATTCCTACAGCACCCTGTGTGGCAAGTAATGTAATTATCCCATATTACAGATGGAGTAATGAGACTGAAAGGATAATTTATCTAACGCTATAGAGTTCAGAAACAAAACTGGAATCAAAGATTTCCAGTTATACTTATTCTCTTCATCCTTACTGAAGAGCAGCCTAAATTTGTATCTTATTATTTCAAATATAATTCTTGAATTTTACAGGTTTAATTTGTCCTTTTTAGGTTCTGAATCAATATTTTTACTTTGTGGCTTTATTTTATTTCTGCTTTGTGACTGACAAATTTGAAGAATCTTAGATTAATAGAACTATCACACTTACCTAATTGTATTGCCATATTTGATCTTAAATTTGTATACATTCACACCAGCATGAAAAAACCTTGTCTCAGGCATTGGATATGTAAAAGGTTTCAAAGATGTGTGTTCTAAAGTCCAACCTGCTAATAAATAAATAATAAGAAACAATTTGTATTTCATTTTAAATCTGATGTTATTCATAGACAAAAAAATCTAGGATGATCAAATTTGATTTTTAAACTCTTTCTATAAGTTACTCTTTTATATGTAACAAAGATTAAAATATTTTAATATTTTATTAAATATTAACTATTATATTACATTTTCATTCATACATAGCTCGCAAGAACAACTGCTTTCTAAGAATGTTCATATTTTTTCTTTCTAATTCTTTTTATAAGTGAACAACAAATTAATATGAAAGGAAAATTAAGTTGATCTATATTCTCAAACTATTACTGGCAGGTCCAGGATCAACAAAGACAATTGTGTTATCTTAAATTTTAAGCCAGCAGTGTGCTAAGAAGATAAGTATTAAATTTTAAGTCATATTGTGATCTATGTGTAAGCTGAAATACTGCAGAATACTGTCTAAACTTTAATTTACTAAGAACCTCATCTAAGCTTTTGGTTCTTACATAAACAATAATCCAATATTTGATATTATAACAAAAAACTATATATTTTAGAGCACACAATATTTGTAGTTATTTTTCCAAAACAACTAAAAAAAGGCTTTTTCACTAAAATACTATATTATAGCAATTTGAGTACCATACAGAAATCTGAGCATGGAAATATATTAGTATATATTTAGTAGTCAATGATTTAAACAGTCACAAAGTAAAATATTTTAGCTTTCAAGAATTTTATCAGTCTGATTTATATGCCAAACAAGAGAAGTAATTCATAAAAGTCTGTATTTTCCTAATATGGTATAAGAAGAGGCAACAGATTTCAAGGGCTAGAATTGCTATGCTATGCAGAATTTACAAAAACTCTGGATACTTTTGTTGTTTTTTTCAGGGCTTCTGCACCTGAATAAAATATGCAGCTACCTTAAGAAAATTAACACAACTTTTATAGAAGCTGCACTTTTCAGGCTTGTGAGGGGGAAAAAAGGAGATCTTTTAATCATAGGAGAAACATGCTTGACCCCTATGGGGTCCAAAGCACTTTTTCCAAGTCCTATTTAAAGTGTGCATCCAGCCCAACTGAATACTGTACAATCTTTGGTACTCAGGCAACATATCTTAATATCCAGAGACAGGAAATAACAGTGGCTTTTCTCCTCTGAGAACTGCCAAACCTGGAACTGCTCAACACACCTTACAATTGCATGCAAGGACAAAGGAACATGTGATTGTTTTGCCACAGATAAACTGATGCTGTGAGATAAAGGTATCAAAGAAAATTATGAAACCAGATTTTTTTTTGCCCCTTGGCATCTATTCATGCGTTATGCAGAGAAACTTTGTCCGATTGTTGCCACACCTACTTAAAGGTATTCTATTATATCAATAGTTTAAATGTAAATGTTTCCTCATGTTTATGTCACCTGAATCCCACCTGAACCTTCCAAATCTCTCTCAGGTACAGGGTCCCTAAATCCATGCTTAAGAAGAAAGGTCATTTCTCATTCTATGACTCTGAAAATAATTTTTAATTTGGCTACAGAAGCTGATGGAGCTGGCAGAGATGGCAAAATTGCCTGTTTTGATTAAAGAAAAGAATACAAGTACCTTCGTTTCTACATGGAGACAGCTTCTGGATTTGTGCTTGAGGTGGAAAAGAATGAAACTTTGATTTTGGGTTTCACTGATTAGATCGATTGGTTGTTACAGAAATGGCTATTTTTTACTATTGTGAAAAAGTAAAAAGTTGACACTCGACATTAATGCTTTATTCTACTGCAACAGGGGAAGTCGGAAGTCAATCTTTTTTTTTCTTCCCTTTTCGTCGCTTTCTTCTCCCTTTTTCCTCCCCTATTTGCTTTATATTTTCCTCCTACTATTTGCTTTGTATTTTGTATTTTACATCTTAATACAATGTTTTAAAAAAGAAAATAGTTTTTAATTCACACCTCTGCTACAAATTCTTTTAACTCACCACCAACTACCCAGAATATTCTCTGGATGAGCACTGTTTGACATTAACCGAACTGTAGATTATTTTATGCATTAGTGCTGCTTTATCTTGCTGGAAGAAATTCAGTCAGCAGTTCAGTGGCAAAACACAAAACCTCTGTGCTTAGCTGCAGGACTATCAAGAACAAGGATGCCCTCTACTGGAAACTACAGTCTTCATTCTCTCTTCTCCAGATCAAGACTTGAAACACTGGAGAAGCTTAAGTTGCCGTTGGTGAAGCCAAATCCATCCAAAAGTAAAATATGAATAAATCCTATAAGCCAAGGTGCATTTTACAAATGAATTGAAAATATTCCTACAGTGCATTCAGAAAGTATTCAGACCCCCTTCACCTTTGTCAATTTTGTTATGCTGCAGTCTGATTCTACAGTTGTTGAAATTCATTTCCCCCCTCATTAATCTACACTCAGTGACAAAGTGAAAAGAGAATTTTAGAAATGTCTGTAAATTTATTAAAAAGAAAAAACTGAAATATCACATTGGCATAAATATCCAGACCCTTCGCTCAGTATTTTGTTGAAGCACCTTTGGCAGCAATTAGAGCCTCGAGTCTTTTTGGGTATGACGCAACAAGCTTTGCACACCTGGATTGGGGGATTTTCTGCCATTCTTCCTTGAAAATCCTTTCAAGTTCAGTCAGGTTGGATGGCAACAGTTGGTGGACAGCCATCTTCAGGCCCCTCCAGAGATGTTCAATAGGGTTCCAGTTAGGGGTCTGGCTGGGCCACTCTAGGACATTCACAGAGTTGTCCCTAAGCCACTCCTATTTGTCTTGGCTGTGTGCATAGGAGTGTGAATCTTCTGCCCAGTCTGAGGTCCTGAGCACTGTGGAACAGGATTTCATTGAGGATATCCCTGTACATTGCTCCATTTAGCTTTCCCTCAACCCTAACCAGTCTGCCAGTCCCTGCTGCTGAAATACACCCCCACAGCCTGATACTGCCACCACCATGCTTCACTGCTGGGATGATATTGGGCAGGTGATGAGCGGTGCCTGATTCCCTCCAGATATAACATTTATTTATTTTTATTTATTTTTAAAAACATTTTATTAAGATGTAAAGTAAAATACAAAATACAAAGCAAATAGTAGGACACAATGGGAAGGAAAAAGGGAGAAGAAAGTGAGGCCAAACAGTTTGATCTTGGTTTCACCAGACCAGGGAATCTTGTTCCTTACAATCTGAGAGTCCTTCATGTTATGTCCCGAGCCTTGCAAACGGCTCGGGCGTTTGCAGGCAGTCCCGGGCAGGTGCAAAGCTGCCCGGGACCAGACAGGCTGTCGCCAGCGCCGTGCGCATGCGCGGGTGCTGGCGCGGGAAAAGTAACCCATTTACCCGGGAGTTGCCTATATAAGAGGCTGCGAGGCGTTTGGGCGAGGCTGAAGCCATCTTCCTGTAAGCTGAACGCTGAATAAAAGAAACTGAGAACTCCAGCTGCTTCTCGTGTCTATTTTCCCGCCAAGGACTCAACACTGGCGACGAGGTGGGATGCCTTGCACTACCTGGAAAGGAAAAAGTGTAAGCTTACCCAAGGAGTCCTGAGCGGCGGAAGAGGAACGGCGTCGACTCGGCAGCTGCCCGCCAATCCGGTGCGCATTCGGGGGTAGGCTGGCTGATAGACCCGTCTCCTGAAGATCCGAAGATGGCGAAAATCGGAAGGCTTTCGGAATTTGACGTCTCACATCCAGAGCGGTGGGAGTCCTACGTATCCAGAATGGAGAACTACTTCAAGGCAAACCAAGTGACGGAAGATAGCTTGAAGGCTGCCACCCTGCTTTGCGTTTGCGGCCAAGACGCCTTCGAAATCGCAGAAAACCTTGCAGCACCTGTCCCAGTAGAGTCTGTAAGCTACGCAGACCTGAAGAAGCTGCTGAAGGAGCACTTCCACCCCAAGGTGTCCGTTATCTCATGGCGCCACACCTTCGAACAGAGGGATCAACGGTCCGGTGAGTCAGCCAAGGAATACATCGCCGCGTTACGGAAGGCCGCCAAGCCCTGCGAGTTCAAGGACCTCGAGGAACGACTGAGGGACCGATTCGTGTGCGGGTTAAGGCATCGAGAGCTACAACAGAGACTTTTCGCTAAGGAAGAATTATCCTTCCAAGACGCCTTAAGGGAAGTCACCGCAGAAGAAGCAGCAGGCGGCGCGTCAAGAACATGCGGCCGATCAGAAGCAGTGCAGAGGGTGTGTCCGTGCACCAGGAAGACGTCCAACGAAACTCCGAGGAGGATCCGGACGAGGAAGTCGACCGTCTACACCCCGCGAAGGAAGGAAACCAGAAGGGAAGCTCTTCGGCTCCGCTCAAGTGCATCGGCTGTGGAGGTCGCCACAGGAGAACCGACTGCAAGTTCCGCTCCGCTACCTGCCGGGCATGCGGCAAACTAGGGCACATTGCAGCTGTGTGTCTGGGCCGACGAAAGGCACAACCCCAAGAAGAACGCCTGAAGGGTACCAGACTCCCCAGCCAGAATAGGGTAGGTTTTTGCGCTTCGCGAAGAAGCATCTGTAGGACAGGCACACACAAGCCCATGAAGAAAAAGCTGTCACTCAACGTGAAGCTACAAGGGGTTCCATTATCTATGGAACTAGACCCAGGGTCTGCCCTTTCCATCATTTCATTGCATACATTTAGGAAGATTTGTTCCAGTAGTGGGACTAAGGCCAAGTTAAGGCCTTCTGATATTGTATTAACAGATTTTCAGAACTCAAGAGTGTGTGTTAAGGGGGAGGCCACCCTTAACGTGCAATACAAGAGTTTTGAAGGTCCACTAGACTTATTAGTAGTAGGGGGTGAACGAACGAGTCTCATAGGACTCGATTGGTTTGAGGCCCTGGGGATACACGTCACAGGACTCAACAGCTTACAAACACTCGACCTACAGGAAGTCTGCAAAGAATTTGCAGATGTTTTCAGCCCCCAGCTGGGCACATTCAAAGGACCACCTGTGTCCTTAAAGCTAGACCCCACTGTCACTCCCATTAGGATTAAAAC